TTTACTACTATCCCTTCATTTCTTTCTTTCTTCTTTCCTTTCCCTTCTTTCCTTCTCTCTCTCTTTCTCTCTCTCTCTCTCCATTCTCTCTCTCTTTCTCTCTCTCTCTCTCCATTCTCTCTCTCTTTTTCTCTCTCTCTCTCCATTCTCTCTCTCTCTTTCATATTTTTATATTCGAAAATCTGTCATTTTTCTTTCTTCCGCTCTTGCTTTCTTCTCTTCTCACTTTTCCATTCCTCTTGTTAATCTCGTATCCCAGTTCAGATTAATTGTCTCCATTTATAAAGAACTTTAGCTCTGAAGAGATGAATATAACAATATTCATAAAATCTTACTTATTATAAAACCCAGGTTGTGTGTGTGTGTGTCTGTACGTTTATATATTGGATCAGATTTCCTACATTTTTCAACCGACTTCAACAAAACTTCACAGGACTATGGAAAATTACCTTGCGGTGGTTCTGACAGCGCTCAGAATTGGAAAAAAAGCACAATTGTTTTTGCATGAAATCAATTTGAAAATACAATTAAGAGGCATCACTTTCGCAGAATGAAAGGGGGACAACTCATATCGAGTTATACTTATAAAACCCAGGTTGTTTGTGTGTGTGTGTGTGCATTCGTTTATATATGGGATCGGATTTCCTACATTTTTCAACCGATTTCAACAAAACTTCACTTTTGTTTTGGCAGGTAGTATTTCTTATTGTCTTGCACATTTTTTTCTTTATTTTTAAATTCAGAATGCTTTAAAAATTCGATTTATAAGACAATTGTTTATAATAAAATTCTATTCAATCGGGTAGACTCATAACGATTGAAAACAATGTTTTTGATTGAGTTTGGGTTTGACCAATTCGTAAAAAAAAAAACAAAAAAAAAAAATAATTAAGACATGCGTGTCCGTCAACCTTAAACAATAATCTTTGTCAATTTTATTTTTCAGTCTTTATGATGGTTGATACTTGATCTATCTCTTACTGTTACATCCCCGAGCAATGCCGGGCTCTACTGCTAATAAATTATAAAACGAAAATTTCTTTAAGATTTTTCTTGTTTTATTATATATATATATATATATATATATATATATATATATATATATATATATATATATATTTTAACATTTAACACGTCTATTTTCTAAGTGAGAAAATTATTGGAACACGTGACTGAAAGGTGTTCCTTATCCAGGTGTTGTCTTTTAGATTGAATGTTTAAACATTAAATAGCCTTGAATGACTAATCTTGGTTTTAGCCTTTAGGTTCCCTCTGATAAAGACTGTATTTCTGGTTAAAAAGGATGAACCGCCATGATGACAAGAGATCTGATTATGGGAGAAAAGCAAGCCAAAAAGAATAGAAGGAAGATAGATCTGAACCATTGGATAAACATTGTACACAGCTAATAGAACAATTGTTTTGAAAGAGAAATAAATTACTGGTGTACTGAACAACAGATATAGAACAGGTCAGCCAAGGAAAACAACAGCAGTTGATAACAGAAACTTTGTGAGAACTGTGAGAAAAATCTTCAAAGCAACATTCACTAAGAACTTCTACAGAGCAGAGATAAAGGTTTCTTGATCCATTATTAGAAGACTTCGAGAGCAGAAATATAGCGGCCATACCACAAAATACAAACTACTCATCAACAGTAAGAATCCGAAGGCTAGATTGAAATTTGCGAGGAATTACAGAGATGAGCAACAAATATTCTGAAGGAAAGTTTCATAGACTGATGAAAAGAAGATTAATTTCTACTAGTGTGGAGAATTCCACCTGTGAAACATGGTGGAATCAGTGTCTTGGATCGGGTTTGAATCTGAAACAGGCTCATTCATATTTATTGATGATGGAACTCATGGTAGCAGTAGAATGAATTCAGAAGTCTACAGAAATATTTTTTCTTTCAATTTATAGAGAATTGCCTCCACACTAATCAGATGAATGTTTATTATGCAGCAGGTCAATGACCCAAAACACACTGCCAATACAATAAAGGACTTCATTAAGGGAAACAGTGGGTAATTTTAGACTGGCCTAGTCAGTCACTGGACCATAACTTAATAGAACATGTATTTCATCTCCTGAAGAGGAGACTGAAGGGAAAAGACCCCCCCCAAACCCGAAACAAAGAAGAAGTGTAAGAGACTGCTTTAAAAGTCTGGAAAAGTATCACAAATGAAGAATACAACAGTTTCGTGATGTCGTTGGGTCGCAGGCATGATGTAGTTATTGCAAGCAAGGGTTATGCAACCAAATAGTAAAAAATCTTATTTACTTTAAAACCAACGGTTTCTTTGGTTTTGTTCACCTAAAATGGGGTGATCTGATACAAAAGGTGGTATGTCTGAAGCTGTTTAACACATCTAAATGTAAATACAAGGAAATAAAAGTTGAAATTCTGAACACTTGGCTCATATTCATTTTTTGATTTTAAAACCAAATGTCTTCAGTGATCAGCAAAAAAAACGATGGAATTTGCCTTATATGTATATATATATATATATATATATATATATATATATATATATATATATATATATGGTTTGCTAATTTTAATAAAATCCATTCATACTCATGTATAACCTTCCATGTATTGATGTTGAAGGATTGAAGAAATGTGCTATAGCTGTTTAAATTTAAACGCACACAAGATTGTCAACTGTTTTGCATGAAGAAAAATAATTCCGCTAATGGATAACAACGCAAACCTTTGCATAAGTACTTATATTAATGAACAACATATAGTTTTGTGTTACTTGCAAACCAGAACATGATCTTGGAAGAAGATTGAAAGTACTTGGGAAATGAAAATAAAAGAAATTTAAACAGCTATAGTACATTTCTCTTATCCTTTAACATAAATACACGGAAGCTTATTCATAAATATGAATGGGTTTTGTTAAAAATTAACAGATATAATGTCTATAATTTATTCAATCAGACATGCCTAAAATAGAATATATATATATATATATATATATATATATATGACACATTTTGCTGATATAGCCATAAGAGTGAAAACAATTTCGAGTTTGAAGTTTAATAAATCACAGGTCAGAGAAACAGCTGGTTTATATATCGGAATACATTTTGACAGTGTGCGAAATATGGTCCATGATTTAAGAGAGGCCAGAAATAAAAGACAACAGATTTTTATATATATATATATATATATATATATATATATATATATATATAAAATTATCATTTCGAGCAAATATACTTTCAGCTTTTTATTATTACAAATATATATAGAATTTTTATCTTTCAAAATCAATCTTATCTGCTTTGAATTTTAGAGATTTTGACTTTCACTCGTCTTCGTTTCTCAAATTTCAGCCGCATTTCTCAAGCAATAAAATAAAACAAACGCAAATAGACGAAACTCCAATCATCAATGTTCGGCTCGCTCATATCGCAACCAACCTGATCACTTGAAGTCGGGGATTCGATACAGATTCTGGGTACTTCCCGTAGAGAACAGCACATGATTTCCTGTTTCAACGCTGCCTTACCAATATCTCAATTAGAACAAAATGTCCACCATATTGTCAACGATGTAAAGATATTATTTTTACTGTGTTTCATTGTTAGGTTGAATGTAGGTTCCATTGTAAACAATTGACCAATCTCAATACCGTTGAAAATTCTAACGTTCTCTATTAAAGTGCTACAAATACTCGACTAGATTTTCTATACGGAGGAAAGTGCACTAAAATGTGACATCTATAAGTTTTGCTGAATATAATTTATTTTATGTTTGAAAGAAATAAGAAATTTAAATTGATATGAACCAATCTAGACATCTCACTTTTTTAAATGAATATGTAGACGGAACATCATCAAATACGAGTGGCCAACTATATATATATATATATATATATATATATATATATATATATATATATATATATATATATATATATTTGATGATACCCGTCTACTAGGGAAGGTAGGCGATCCTTATGGCAGGCGCTTGGCCAGGCGCATTTGTGTTTATTCAACATTCACAGGGCTACAGCTGTGGTTTATACTGCAACTATGCTGAGCAGACCTTAGTTACAGTTTATGGGAAAGAGCATGTTTTCTAGCGTGATCAACAATTTGAACAAGCCCAGCACGCTGACGCCCTCGGCCACGATGATTTGTGACTTCGTGCTAGCACAACTATCGACGGAACCCAAGGGTTCTATCTATCCAATTTCTCTCGAGTCAACCCGTGATATGGTTTTCCAAAGGTTCCGCCCATTCTCCAGTTCGATAACATCAGGAAGACTTCTTCCTGAAAAATCCACCATGGTCAAATTCGAACCTGGTTTATATGGTCATACTTACGAATAACCTTCCGTCTATCGATATTAAAACATGAGAAAAATGTGCTATTGCTGTTGAAATTTCTTTTATTTTCATTCCCCAAGTACTTTCGATCGTACTCCAACATCATCCTCAAGTGTGCAAGTAATACAAAACTATATGTTGTTCATGAACATAAGTATTTATACAAAGATGTGCGTTGTTATCCATTACTGTAATTTTTCTTTATGCAAAACAGTTGACAATGTGGTGATCGTTCAAATTTAAACAGCGATTGTACATTTCTCTCATCTTGTGCGCAGGTATGCAAAAAATAGAAAAGAACACGTTGCGTGCATAATCCGGAGTTCCTTAGTATTTTTGTTTTTATTTTTAAGAAGACAGTGCTCAATACAGAAGTAGAGCTTTATTATAATAATATTTTTTGTTTAAAAATATGATTCCTTCGCTACATAAGAGTTCTCATGTTTCAAAAACGAGAGCCGAAATCATCCAAATAATTATTAAAATTAAGTTGAATTTTGGTGTTTAGTCCCGTTTCATCTTCAAGCGAAATTTTAGGAATAAGCTATCTCTCGGTTTACGTGTGTTTATATATATGTCTATATTTCTGATATGAGGTATTATGTACACTATTTATCCGTTCTAACCACTCGGCCACGTATGAATACTTGTATCTTAATTCATTTAATTCCCTCTTTTTTCACTCTTGCCTTTTCCCCGGATTTGCATTAGTGTGTGCGTGTGTTAAAATTATAAATCAAGAGAAATATATGCATGTGCCTGTATTTAATGAATTAATTTATCACTCACAAAGGAATTTCTTTGCACCGCAACGATAACTGATAACTCTTATCT